CTCACGCGTAAGAGGGAGTTCTCTTCTCCTCGTGGGGCCACGGATGGAGCCCGGCGAGGGGAAGGAGGTCTCCCAGTAGTATTTGGAATGATACCTTGGAATGCAGTTGTCAAGGTTTCCACCGCCCTCTGGAATGTGGCCAAACTCGCCAAAGCCTGTGTGGGATCCATGGTGGGGATGTTGTGCCCAGTGCCCGGCGTCTGGAACTGCGGCGGACGCACCACCGGGTCCCTAGGGTTCCCCCCACCACGAATCTGGTTCCTCAAATCACCTTGCGCGACGGCGTTGTCGTTGCGCCTCCTAAAATCGCTCCTCCGGGATCTTAACCCTTCATCTTCAACCGTAACGTGATTGAAACGATCTCCGCCTTGATTGCTACCAACACGATAATTGTTATTCGACACAACCATCGTTGCTTCGTATACTCGGCTCTCAACGAGAGCACCAAATGATGGAGTTAAATCCAACTACGAGAGCTAAATATACGGAGATATGAGAATAATATGGCAGCGTAAGGCAGTTTACTCTTTATTCCGGAGAACTAGCAATAGTCTAGCCTCGGTTCCGAATCTTATCAGGGGTTTGATTTCGGGGGAAGCTCCCTTCATAGGGTGTTTACATCAAGTATTTATAGATATTAGGAAGTAGAATTATGGGAGGAATCTAATACAATAAATGCTTAATTAATGAACTATATTCTTGCTCGAAATAGAACTCTTCGATGCTTGACTCCCACACGATTGCTTTCCCTTTTTAGTCGCCGTCTTCCAGATGAGTTCTGCCTGTTGCCAAATATCTATCAACGAGTGATAGCTTGCCATGTAAGCCCTAGGAATTTTCTGGCCTCACTAGAACTCCGCCCAGGCTCGAGGTCTGCTGTCCAGCCCGGCCTGGTTGTGGGTTCCTATCGTGGGCCTAATTCCTAATGGGCTAAGCGGCTTTCAACCATGAATCCCGTTTATGGGCTAATCATGTAATTAGGCTGGTCCCATTAAGGGCCGATCCCGTTTATGGGCTAATCTTGTAATTAGGCTGGTCCCGTCAAGGGCCGATCCCGTTTATGGGCTAATCCTGTAATTAGGCTGGTCCCATCAAGGGCCAATCCCGTTTATGGGCTAGACTACGTAATTGGGCCATGGTCTTAATTCATGGTACCATCACATATATATGGTAGTAGGACAAATCGTGCATGAGTGAGTAAGAGAAAGGTATATACGAACCGATTACTCAATAGTAATCAATAATTTATTGTTGGGTGTGTTTAGGAAATTAAAGAAAAAATTAATTAAAATAAATTAATCAAAATAAATTAATTAAATAAAATGACTTAAACAAAACAAGAAAGGAGATGGAGCAGAAACTAGTCAAAGCTCGTGCAACGCACGATTTCCTTAAAACGTATTCGTTGTCTCCCGAGGTGCTAGGAGCGTTGCAAGAATCATTTCCTAGGATACGATGACTATCGAGCTATTCATTGAGCACTGAACACTTGGGAAGTTTTCAGAGAGACTGGAGGTGTATTTCAGCTGGGAAAACACGTGAAGTACGTATTGTGTGTTGTGTCTTGTTGCAAACCACCTGCAGCCATTTATAGGGAAGATTTGTTGTGTGTTAATGAAGGTTTAATGGATATGAACGTTGGTAATCAATGTCCAGCTCATTGGCATTGATTCGTCCAGAAAACCGTCCATTTATTGCAAAGGAACGTTGGGCATTTATGGTGTTGTAACGTCCCAACAGCAACCTGCTGCAGACGTTCAACATTCGCGGAGTAGCAACGTACTGCGAATGGAGCTGCGGCCTACTCCAACCTGGAGCAAAAATAGGAAATTAACGGAGGAACAAAAATTAACGTTTATCTTTAGAAGATAGAATTTCCGGACGGCATTCGAGTCCGCAAGTCGCCCGTAAGTCGCACTTTTTGTTCTCCGATTTCGGGATTTGATTCGCACAGAACCTTTACCCTAAGGAATCTTAGCTCCTTAGGGGGGGGGGGGGGTCCCTTTATAAAGGGTTCAAATTCCCTTGGGTTTTCCGGTGTGGGAAAAAACCACACTAGAAACCCATCACTTTCCTACTTTTCTCCATTCCAATGAGTGAACTTCGAGAATCAATTTCTCATTTACCTGTTATCCGTTTTGAGCATACCATATATCGAATTGTAACTCTAAGCAAGGTCAATCCGAAACCACTTTGACATGACCCAAATCGGAAGTGGACCCCACTCAAAAAATGTTCCAAAATGACCATTTAATGCAATTTACTAACTCTTTTTCCAACATTTATTCCCTTAACATGTTTTGTCATGCAACTCACCATATCAATAAAATATTCATTTAATAAGGGGTTTTTTACAAGAATATTACCAAAATAAAACTTATTTGCATAAATATGACTATTCATTACTACAACGTGGTATTGTAGTAACTTAAGTTCAACACTTGAACATGAATTACTATGATTTCATTACTACTCCAGTAACTAGTCATATTTTTGTAAATCGTCTTTATTTTACTCATATTCATGTAATTATTTCTTTAATAAGGTGCTACTTCAAATATGGGTCATACAATCATGTACACGCAAACCAAGATTCTTTCCAAAAATATTCATTAAATATTTTAACTAAGGATGACTTTTCAAAATCGTGTGACCAGAGAACATTTAGAGCATCTCCAATGCTAAAACGTTAACAGTGCATACGTGGCATAGAAAATAACCAATTAAAAAACAATAAATACAATATCTCTCTCCTTATTTGAATGATCTTACATCAATATGGTAAGATTTTCTTCACAATGTCAAGCACAATGTCTAGATGTAGACATTGTGATTGACATTGCAGACAAAAACTTACCATAAACACATAAGACCGTGGAAAGAAGGAGAGAGATATTGTATTTATTGTTTTTTAATTGGTTATTTGTCATGCCACGTATGCACCGTTAACGTTTTAGCATTGGAGATGCTCTTAGTAAGCTACACTCAACTTCTAAAATAGCAAGTATTCATTTAAGAGATGTAGGAGCACTAAGTATGGCAAGTAAGGATTCCTTCCAGAAAATATTAAGCTATATAGGTCAACTCATTTAAGTGCATGGAAAGATATTTAAATAGTGCCACGTACATGCATCACATTCTAGGTACTAGAGGTGGGCGAATCGGTTTACGGTTCGGTTTTTATCGGTTTCGGTTTCGGTTTATTCGGTTTGAGGAAAATAGTACCAAACTCAAACCAAAAGAATTTCGGTTTGGTTTCGGTTTGGTTTGGGAAAAATTCGGTTCGGTTCGGTTTGGTGTTCGGTTTGATGTTCGGTTTATAAACTTGAAAATGATTATGTCTTGTTTCATATGTTACAATCCACTTTGAGTAAATGAGTAATTTTGAATGTTTTGTTTTCATTGAAATTCCAACTAAATGAAATACTAGAACCAGCCTTCACCAAACCAATTGAACAACCTGCCTTCACCTGCTTAAACAACCTGCCAATTGAAATTCCAACTAAATGAAATACTAGAACCTAGCTTAAACAACCTGCCTTCACCTGCTAAACCAATTGAAACAAACTAAACCAAAGACTCACACAGAAATAGAAATAGAAATATAAATACAATTTGCTATTGATATCGCCAACCATAATAAATACAAATATGTCGTATTAGCTAACTTTGTCATAATGAATGTTTGAAATGTGTAAAAGTTAAAATAATACGAGTATATGCTTAAATATGCATTTTCATGTCTAAATTTTTTATTTATATCTTAAAATGAAGAGTGAAGATAAATACAAAGTGTGTGTGTGTGTGTTGTTCGGTTCGGTTCGGTTTTGTTTGGTTTTGTTCGGTTTTTATCGGTTTCGGTTCGGTTCGGTTCGGTTTAATACGGTTTGAAAGAAATAGTACCAAACTAAAACCAAATTGCACACGGTTCGGTTTCGGTTCGGTTTAGTTCGGTTTGGTACGGTTCGGTTCGGTTAAACCAAACCGTTATGCCCACCCCTACTAGTAGGTACGTAGATAAAACATTATCATGCAATTAATTCATCTATACATTATGCACGACAACTACTCAAATAGAATAGAACTGAGTATGGTTCTAGCTTCTGTTCTTGATAGAACTAATAGTAGCTCTATCCGTTGGTCCACCTGCATGGTTAGTCATCAATAAAGTAGAAATGCCTGTTTGGACCTTAGGATAGTTCTATCCTTTTTTTCTGCATGATTATTGATTAGTCATCAACAAAACTAAATACTCAACAAATATAATAATGCGAAATTTCAAAATGAAGATATTATGCTATTTCATATAAGAATATTGTTTGACATGTTTGATTTCACTGTCAATTTTAACACTGACTAGTACGCACCCGTGTGATGCACGATGTGTTAATTTTAACTGGTTATAAAGTTAAATATCATACATTAGACAATTAAGAACTAAAAGGGTCACTACAAAAAAAACACGGGATTGACATGAATATTTGGCAGAGATTTCCCAAATTTAGTAGGGATTTGAGTAGGGGTATGTCAAATCCGTGCAAAAACAGTTTGGCACGAGCTATTTGGCATGAAATCCTCATAAAATCCGCGCTAACTCCGTGTCAATCCCGTGTTTTTTTGTAGTGGGTCATTCTTAAAATATTTCACACTATTTCACAAGATTCTAATTCTAGAGAATTCTAATTTTTTCTAAGAATTTTCTAAAATCTCATGAAGGGATCCTACATTTTTCTGGTTTTCAGTTTTCACCCACAATATCTTGTTTCCTAATACTTCCTCCGTCCTGCAAAATAGTTCCCAGTTTCCTTTTTGGGTCGTCCCAAAAAAAAGTTCACATTTTCCCTTTTGGAATTGTGTGGTTTACATTCATTTACCTTTTTCTTACACAATCACAACAACACATTTCCACTTTATTCCCACTTTCTTAAACTCCAAACCAAATTAATGCATGAACTATTTGATGGGATGGAGGAGTCTCACAATTCTAGTGTAAAAATCCTCTTCCTTACGTTTTTCTTCTTTTTCTATTTATGTTGTGCACCAAACGGATCATTTGCCGACCAGTTCAAAAAATCTTTGCCACAAACAGCCCAAGCAACATCTTTCCCGGATTCAGATCCCCAGAATACCCTTCCCCCTTGCATACACGATTGCACTTCGGACTCCGTATTACTTTATCTTTTCTCTCTCCGCCGTCGGCCACCGCAAATTAGCGGCCGCTCGGTGAACGCTGCACAGAGTTTTCGCTTAGGGTTTGAATCCCCCGGAGATGGTGGAAACGGTCAGCATCGACGTCATTCACGGCGGCGTATCAGAGGAGCACCTCCTGTTGGCAGAAACTAGCAATACCGACTGCTCCTGGAGGTTGAACTTCGACGGCTTCGAGTTTTCTCCGGATAAAAAAGAGAAGCCTCCTCGTGGCCTTCATGACTGCCTTGGTGTTTTAAGTACTTCATTTGACTTTCACCTGCTTCCTTATTTTCTGCAATTTATATTCTTACATCCTCCGCTTGTCTCATTTCCAAACGCTAGACGGTAAATTGAATTATTAGTAGTGTAGGAATCATGAAGGAATGACACATTTATTCTTAAATCGAATATATTACTTTTCAGGTTGGAAAGGTTCGAGTTTATATTGTGTTGGATATTAGCAAATCTGAGTGGATTTAGTTGTTTGACGCACTGATACTTTCTGTAGCATAAAAATGTAATCCACTATAAAAGAGGGTTACTTTATTCTTATTGACAAAATCCAAATTCCAAGTATAAGAATAAACATATTTAGGGAGAGTTTGTTTTTACCTCTCTTAAAGGTGCTGTGACTGAGCTCTTAAATGTTTATGGTCTCATTATTTGGTAATGTATGACCGAAATGCAACATTGACTGAATCTTGAACTGCTCCCTGCATACAGACTTGCTAATTTGTGTTTACACTGTCTGGAATTGGGTTAGAAGGGAAGCTTCTCTAAATGATTTTGAACATAATATAAATCTAGAAACTAGTTCAATAATACAGAAATGTGATATGTACCAAGCTAGCATCCAAAATCGAGTGAGAAGTTGCTCTAAAAGATTTTAAATAATAATATGAAGAAATACTTACATATCTATGACTAAAATAAAGTTTTTTTTTTAATAACAAAAATATGATCTTAATTCTTATTTTTACACTTAATTGACCATGACACTATTACTCATGATAACTTTAGTCATATTTTTGTAAATAATATTAATTTTAGTATTATTTTTGAAAAAAAACTACTAATATAAATCCAGAACTAGTTTAATAATTACAAGGTAGTGTGATGTGTTGTTGACTGTATTCTTTTGAATCAGGAAATGATTTTTTTCTTTTCATGTGTTAACATTAAATTTGGGAATTTATCCATGACAATACTGCAAATAATTAAATGAGCTGTTGATGATTGCAGGAGAAGAGGATAATGTTGCAGAGTATTATCAGCAACAGGTAGAAATGCTTGAGGGATTTAACGAAATGGATGCCTTAGCAGATCGGGGTTTTGTTCCTGGATTGTCAAAGGTATACTATTGCCGTCTCTAAACATGTATTTACATCATGCCCACCCCCATACTTTTGGAGTTATACTAAGGGTGACTATGCTAACCAAAGAACGGGTGGAACCAATTGCTGAAATTAGTTGCTGTATTTTATAGGAAGAGAAGGCAAACTTGGTGAAAAGTGAAACATTTGCCATAAGGATATCAAATATTGCAAACATGGTTCTCTTTGCTGCTAAGGTCTATGCATCTGTCCGGAGTGGTTCACTGGCCATCATTGCATCCACTTTAGACTCTCTGCTTGATCTTCTCTCTGGTTTTATTTTGTGGTTTACATCCTTTTCCATGCAAACACCTAACCCATATCAATATCCAATTGGAAAGAAGCGTATGCAACCTTTGGTTAGTATCTTTGCTACTTCATCTGAATTCTGTGCTTGATTTGGTACATAATCTCTCGTGTAGATTATTGTGCACAACAACACGTTTAGACGGTTTAGTTCAAGCTGCTTCTGATATTTTATTGGAAGTTTATGAAAAACATAGAGCCTTATTGTTGCAGCCTAAAATGACTGAATTTGCTGAGGTTGTCGCTTAAATGATTAAATCAGCTTATTATGCTAAAATATAGTAAATTGTTTTATTTAGAATATATTTCTTAAATAAATCAAAGAAAATCATATAAAAATGAAGGTTGAAACTATATCATATAAAAATCATATATATTTCTTTTAGTATTATGTATAATTTCCATGTTTTAGATACATGAACAAACTGTTCGAGGATAGGCGGGGGCGCCCGGGGGAGTGTATTTTGAGGGTTACTCCTACGGCTTCTATATCATTTGAGATCTAGTGTTTGCAATGAAGATATACACTTATGCAGGGGATCCTAGTTTTTGCTTCTGTGATGGCGACCTTGGGGCTGCAGATAATTTTGGAATCTGTACGCAATCTTATCTCCAAGGTAAGCGATTCTTAACCATTCAGAGTTGTTATCAATGAGTACTCTTTGATACCATCATTTAACTGTTCTCCTTCTGGCTTTAAATGCTTTCTTTTGTTCTTTCATTTTTTAATGTTTTTACTTTTGAAGGATTAAGAATCTTTGGTTCCACCAACACTAATTTACAGGAGTCCAACTTCAGCCTTACCAAAGAGCAGGAGCGTTGGGTTATTGTGATAATGCTTTTGGTGACACTGGTGAAACTAGCTTTGGTGTTCTATTGTCGTTCCTTCACCAATGAAATTGTTAAAGCATATGCTCAGGACCATTTCTTTGATGTTATCACCAACATCATTGGTCTTGTTGCTGCTTTACTTGCACAGTACATAGCTCACTGGATTGATCCTGCTGGAGCCATTATTGTTAGTGCTTTTGAGCTGCATACATTCCTCCCCCCACAGTCCCACACACATCCCTTTTTCTTTAGAAATAATAATAAACTGATAGCCTGTTTGGTAAGGGTAAATTTTGGATGAAGTTGCAGAATCTAGGATGGATGTGTGAAAGCTAGATGGTCCAAAATTATCTATAAATGTACTCCATATGTAATATGTTCTTGACAATTAAAAGAAAGTAGCATCTAAAAATCAGGAAATAAATGTTATTTCCTCTCATTTAAATAAAAAGTAACTTCTACATTATTATTTTCTCATTATCACTCGTTCTGGTAATGGTAAGCACTAAACACAATGTGAAAGTTAGCGTTTGGTACACAATAAGAGTTCAATTCTGTCATTTCGTTTTTGCACTACCTTTGTCCCAAAAATAAGAGTCCTGTTTTTAATACTAATAGTATTACAAATAGAACTCTGATTTTGGTACCTGGGTAAGAGTATATCTCATTTCTCTGTCTTTGCTTGTTGGGGTGTCATTATATTGCAGCTGGCTTGCTACACTATCAAAACGTGGTCATCGACAGTGCTGGAGAACGTGAACTCTCTTGTTGGCAAGTCAGCCACGCCGGAATTTCTAAAGAAACTGACATACCTTTGCTGGAATCACCACAAGGCAATAAGGCACATCGACACCGTGAGGGCCTACACATTCGGGTCCCACTATTTTGTTGAAGTCGACATTGTGTTGCCGGCAGACATGCCCTTGCAGGAGGCTCATGATATTGGAGAGTCCTTACAAGAGAAGCTTGAACTGCTGGAGGAGATTGAGCGCGCCTTTGTTCATCTTGATTATGAGTACAGCCACAAACCGGAGCATGCACAAGCGCATCTATAGTTAATTAATTTTAATACATGCGAGCCCCCCACGCCCCATTAATGATTTCTTTCCGGTGGTTTGATGCTGTAATTTGTAATACAATGCAGTAAATATGGTCAGGGTTGCATGTTTTTGTGGTCTCTCTTTAATAACAATCTATAAACAGCTTAATTAGTCTTAATTTGTTGTTTTGTCAATTACTTCCTCTGCTCTGGCCCTGTAAAGAGCGAAATCTACCCCATGCACTTTAAAGCAGTTGAACATTAACGGAACCAGTTGATTTGGGTGGTCCAGCAGTGTCAGGTCCCGTCAATGGGTTGGGAGTCTGAATTAAGAGTGGACACTCCGTATTAGGGCTGGACTCGGGCCGGTTCGGGCCCGGTTCGGGCCTGGGCCCGGCCGGGCCTCGGGCCAGGAAAGGGGAGGCCCGAGCCCGAACCGCCAGTGGCCGGTTCCGGGCCAAACCGGGCCGGGCCGAACCGGCCCAATTTTTTTTTTGTTCTCCTATTTAATCCCCTACCCCTCCCCCTCAACCCCAAACCATCCCAAACCACCTCAAATGGCCCAAAATACCTAATCCAACCTAAAACTTAAAAAAATTTCAAAAAAAAAAAAAAAAATTAAAATCCGGCCCAGACCGGGCCCAAACCGGCCGGGCCGGTTCACCAAAACCTGGGCCCGAGCCCGGACCGCCCAGCACCCGGGCCGGGCCAAACCGAACCGGTGGACCCACCGGGCCACGGGCCGGGCCGGGCCAAACAGTGACCGGGCCGGTTCGGTCCCGGGTCGGGCCGCCCGGCCCGAGTCCAGCCCTACTCCGTATATAGACACGAGGTCTTTTATTAGGAGTGGACAAATGGAAAGTGGAAATTGGTGGGTATAGTCCCAAATTCCCAATTCATTAAACTCGTAAGGTATCCGTGAAGCTTTTAACTGTTTGGTAGTTAAGGATGGAATCATTTGGTAGTTGGTATCATATCGTTTGTGAATGGTATAAAACAATACTCCCTCTGTCCCTGAAACAAGTTCACCCTTTTCTTTTTGGGTAGTCCCTGAATCACCTTTCCTTATTTGACAAATTATCTATATCAAAACAGTGTCAAACAGTGCTAAACAGTGTCCAAACGGTAAAATTTACCCTCCAATAAATTTCTTTCCTTAATATGTGTGAAAAGAAATGGTGAACTTCTTTCGGGGACGGAGGGAGTACGTACAACGGTACAATGTCTAATGCTATTTTGTTTTTTCAATAAATCTGACAATTTAATAGATATTATCACATCGATCGATTCACATGAAATGAAATGCTAATAAAAAAATGAATATAGCAAAAATGTATTAGAAAAGATTCAACGGATTGAAATTTTTATCTTTAATTTCAGAAATACTCAAATAGTACAACGTAATTAAGGAACCATATAGCAAAATGATGATACATCAATAAATATCATTTTCATTAAATTCATGTGAAAATATAAAAAGAATTTCATCAAATTGTTGAATAAAATAAAAAATTCTACATTCATCCTCTTTATCTAGGTTGAATATTAGTTCTAATTTGCATTAATTCTAATTTATAGTTGTACCGTGAGAGCTTATATTTAAACCATGAGAAAACGGTCGGTTTAGTACATCAACTTGGAGCGTGTGGAGTAAAGAGTCCCTCATCTTTTTATACTCAGACGCGGTGGTACCTTTATTAGGCCAATTACAGCCAAATCAGTACAAATACAAACGCCTCGTTAAAACAAGCCAACATGGCAATTAAAATCAGTTTCTTTCGTACACGGTGGAGGCCTTGTCTTCATTTTCCCAACCTCCCTGTTATATAACCCTAAATTGTAGATTCCATGGCCATCGAACTAAAAATTGAAGAGTGCCTTGTCTCCAACATTGGCCGTCTTTGTGGTGAAGAAGCTGTTCATTGAGGTGTTGTACTGTGTTGGTGAGTTGCTTCAAATATATGTAAAAACTTCATCTTGTGTTGTATTCTCATTCTTTAATCGAATGTCCAGCGATATGAAGGATTCAAGAGAGATGGCTTATGGAAAATGTGGGTCTGGAATGCTTGTGAAGATGATGACTTCCAGGACTGATGACAATCCAGGGAGACGATTCATTGCCTGCGCTAGAGTAAGTGTATTAGACTGATTATAGTTTCAGATTTCTTGTGATTTTGGTTTGATTGTGACTTAATGTTATTCTTTCAAATAGAGAATTGGTGGATGCAGCAAGTTTGAATGGATTGACCCTAAAATGTGTGCAAGGTCGAAGGTGATAATACCTGGTCTTTTGAGAAAAATAAACAACCTACAAGCTCTTGTTGATGAGGCAAAGCCAGTGACAAAAAACACAAGATTAGGACAGTGATATGGTATATCATAGCAGGAGTTGTGGTACTACTATTGTTGGTCATATGTGTTGGCAATGAAGAGAAGAAGCCCTTCAAATGGAAAACTTGCGAGTCTAACATTATGTAATGCTATTTTGGTTATACTCTTATATGGATTTATGGGCAGTAGTAATTGATGTTGGTTTGTTGTAATGTAGTGTGTGTTTGGAATTAAGGGGATATATGGTCATTGTGATAATGTAGTGTGTGTTTGGAATGACTAGGGTTGTATACGAATTGAATCGGCTCGAATAATGTGATTTTGTATTTGTATTTGTTTAATTTTTCCGAATACGAATCCGAATTCAAATATGAAACGAATATTATTTTCGATTTGTATTTGTATTTGTTTAACAATACGAATACTTAACGAATCATATACGAATATCGAACCGATTTGATCATAAGTTAAGTTTTAGTCAAATATCACTTTAAAACACATATTCTAAAAGCACATATAAAAAATGTGTTTTAAGAATTTAATTTGTAATATTACATTTTTTCATTAATGTTTAATGGATCAACGCATTTTAGATTGTGCACAATGTATTTAAGCGAATCAGTTTTATAATTATTACTATAAATAAATATATTCAAAGCTAGGTTTGAAATAAACACTAACATTAATGTGTAAAATAAAATTATTTGTTTCCTTTGCAACCTTTTCTCCTTATGATACTTCTGATTTATGATAAATTGACTAGGAATGTGTATACGTAAATGTATATATATGGTCTACACTTTGAGGGTAAAGCTAGTTTTGAAAAGATATTGTAGTGCTGTTACTACTATTATCACTATTATTATTAATGTTATCACTATTATTAATCGAATATATTTGATTAATATTCGAATCGAATATACTGATATTTGTATTTGTATTTGATAATAATTCGAATCAATTTTAGTATTCTTATTTGTATTTGTATTTGAATTTTTCGAATTCGAATCATCTTATACGAATTCGAATCCCGAATCGAGCATAAATTATTTGATTCGTATACAACCCTAGGAATGACATTTAAGCTAATGTAGTGTGTGTTTTGAATGACATTATCAGCAATGTATGTGTTCATGAATCGGTTAATGTGAATCATTTATGAAGTTTGTTGTCATCAAATGAATGTTTTTATGCTTAATTTTCATAAATCATGCACATGAAATCTGGCAAGAACTTTGACTTATGAAGTTCATGTTGTCTGGAATCATGAGACTGTCCATGTCCATTAAAAATGCACATTAATGATAACTACCTAAATGTGTTACACATCCAAAACCAATAAGGTATATAATACAAGAAACATTTATGTGAAAGACCCCTTTTTTACAACTATGACTTGTAAGATCCATTTTAGTATGCTATTCAAAGACCATTACCATAATTCCGCAACACAAAGACAAGTACAATTTCACACATCATATAAATGTAGCCATCATATACAAAAATAACCAACTTTCTGCAGTTTAATGTACCAAAAATACCCATACGCCCAATACTTCACAACATACATGAAGTAGGCGAATACATACACACAAATCCATTTTAGTATACATACTAATATGTCTTCCAAAATGGAGTAGGTCCATAAGCCAACTACCCTTCTGATCCCACATCCCAAATGTGTAACAACAACCATATAATGGGAGAAAGTTTAAGCAAAATGAAAGGTAATACAAGCAAAAAAACAACCATGTCAAGTAATTACAACAACTAGACTACACTTCACTGCCTCCTTCCATGCTATCAAACAAAGTATTAAATCTTTCTCAGCCTCAAAAAGGGGATCTTCAAATCCCCAATCATCATAGAAAGGCACGTGCATAGCAATATCACCTACCACTGAGTCAACACATGGAGTCCCTCTTTGGTCATAATTATCCATTGGTTATCTGGTTCAAATGAAATAAGGCAACGGTAATGACACACTACACCAACTAATACCATCCATAGCAGTTGAAAAACGCTATGATTTCATAGTATAGCGTTTTGTAAAACGCTATAACATAACATGCTATAGTAAGTCTTAAGTTTTCAATAGCAGTTTTCAAACGCTATGAAATGTAAATCAAACATAGCGTTTTTTTGTGCTATCAAAGGTAGACTGCCACATTGACATCTTCCACTTTATATAACACTTGAAAACGCTATAAAAAGTTTAGACCAACTCAACAAAACGCTATCAAAGCTTAGTAATTATAGATATTAGATGTGTCTATTTTGATAGCATTTGAGATATGGTTAAACAATAACATACGTATCATTATATCAATACCACATGCTAGTCTTTGATCTAAATTTTAGAACCAACAATATAAGAAACATTCATTAAAATGTAGCAAATGATAAAAGACAAACATCTTAAGTTCATTGTACTTGCTTCCAAAAACACACAACTAGTCTTTCAAATGGATACAATATCTCTAAGTACTAACACTAAATATGCAAAAACGACAACAAGTAACTTCATTTCATTTAAGATGTCTTGATTGGTAGATCGTCCGTTTTCTTCAAAGTACTATGCCAATTGTCCCTGAAAAATGCAATGCCAATGAGATCACGTACTCATTTTTACCTAAGAAATGAAGGCATCAAGCAAAAACTTATGCTAATTTTGTGCAATAGAAGAAAAAACAGAATCTAAAATGCAGTATATGACAAATCAAACATTGCCAATTCTCTCTTCTTCTTTTCCAGTGCGGCCAACTAAATGCTGCTCAAGCACTATATGTCTTCCACCATAATTATCATAATCATAACAATAATAAAACATACACATTCGTAAGTTGCAAATATCATTTTCTAACAAA